GGATGGGCTCGGCTGTAGTAGTTACGATGCACGGTTGGGAATGCTGAAAGACCAGGTTAGGGACAGAGCGTTGTGCAGAAAATCTGTGTCAGGGGTTCCTAAACATTTTGCCATCACACTTCCCTTTAGCGTAATCTTAATGTACACACCTCCCCTAAAAATCCAAACACTAAAATGAACACAAATGAACAACAAAAACAATACAATGAAACTTTTATTTTTAACAAAGACATAAAAAATAAAAAAGCAAAATGTGTGCCTTCTCCACGTTACTCACTTGAAAATACTAAAAAATGCTAGTTTCATTTTGGGAAAGGTGGATTTATTGCAGCAATGGACAACTAAAAGGTTTTTCACACCTGCCCTGGACTCTGTCTACACCTCTCCAAGAGAGGTACACCTCACAGTTTGGGAAACGCTGATCTACTGTATGCTGTCACTAAGAATCAACAATGACTTGATGGCACATAATTAATCAAGGAACTCCAGGGGATTTGGTCCAGGAGCAACAGTACCTTTTGGGACATGCATGAATGCTTGCACTAGTCAAAACCAAGGTGTGAAACAACACCACACCCTTGGAGAGCTTTAGTATAAATGGTTTATTGCCTGGTTTGCCTCTGCCTTAGTTGGAGAACTCAAATTCAAAACCTCATGAGTACTGCGTGAAGACTAGCATGTTAGACTGAGGGCTGCAACTCTGAAGCTTTTTCATAAGTAGATACAAAAGTGTCTAGTGTGTCAAAAATGAAGGGTAACATGGTATGCCATTGAAGATAAACTGCAAAACTGAGGTACTTTTTCACCAGTTCATTTTGGCCCCTTAGCTGGCAATGCTTTTAATTAATCAGAACACACCTTATTACCTTTTATATCCAGAGACGCAGCCAAGTCTTGCTTGTAAATGTTTGTTAATCACACCTATCCTTAATGCAGATGAACTGATTTTCATAGATGAGAAAAAGCTGATTCCATCTCTATCTGATGGCATCAAAATGACAAAACATGCATCACAGTACCATCAGATAGCTCTTGGCTTTGATATTTTTGTCACAATGTTACACACAAGTACTAGGGAGCAGTTGATAGCATGATGCAGGCTTCATCACTGGTGTGCAAGTTTGTTCTCTCCTCCCCAGTGTTGCCCGAAACTCAGGCATCCAAGTTGGCATGGAGCTAGAAAGAACCTAGTCCCTGAATTTTTTTCGGTCCCCCCCCCAACAATACAAACCACAAGTACTTCAGGCAGAGCAAAAGGCATTTATTAAGGGGATGGTCAAGTCTTTATATAGGATACATAAATAAACGATACATACATTTGATATTTGTGATGTGTCAGAAAGCAACAAATCAAACAATAAAAGACATTGGTGTGCAGTGAAGACTTTGTTTTGTTAGACCGAGAAAAGACAAACCCTTAAAACATGTTGCATCCCTTCCTTTCCCACCCGTTTGTTTCTTTAGCGCTTGCAACTTTAATTAAGGACTTCAGCCCTATTGTTTGATTAATGTCCCTGAAAGGGCTAGTTTTTGCACATCAAAGGAAATGGCTTTGGCTCAAAGGAAAAACATGGTTTCCTAAACCTCAAAAGGAGGCATGGACCCCATGCTAAAATGCTAATATCACCTTTATTAAAATGCTAATAATAAAGCCTAAAATTCTATGTAACAAATCCCCCATTTGGTTCACAAACTATCAACAGTTTGCTGAACCACCCTTATATTTAGTAAGCAAGTGAGCAGTTAACACCTGAAATTGCATGGGATCTACAGGTGAAACTCAAAAAATTAGAATATCGTGCAAATGTTCATTTATGTCAGTAAGGCAACTCAAAAGGTGAAACTAA